AAGTGTTGTGTGAGACATGATCCCTGTTTTTTTTGTTGGAGTGGCAGTGACGTGGTAGTTCAAGTGTTGTGTGAGACATGATCCCTGTTTTTTTTGTTGGAGTGGCAGTGACGTGGGTTGTTCAAGTGTTGTGTGAGACATGGTCCATGTTTTCTGTGTGTGATTTCTGTAACGTGGGTAATTCAAGTGCTGTGTGAGACAAGATCCCTGTTTTATGTATGGAACGGTTGTGACGTGGATAGTTCAAACGTTGTGTGAGACATGATCCCTGTTTTACATATATATACACTATACAAGTAAAATTACGTCTTTAATTAGCAACTTTGCCACATAAAATCTGTTCTACAGATATATATATATACTCCATACAAGAAAAATAACATTAGATCATTACTTAGCAAACTCACGTGAAACTCGCAGCCTCAGCAAGTATATTAAGAACGTCAGCCATTGGTCCCCAAATTGTAACATTTCCATCTTCGCTCTCTTTCACCCAAACCCATGGTTCCCACTGAAAGGTAAAATATATCTGATAAGTAAAGTTTCAAATACTTCACTCGTGGTTAGCTTATTAAAAATTGTAGCAAATCACCCATTCTTTATCCACAGAAAGTTTCACTAGCTAGATTACAGTTTTTATTTAAAGGAAATCGAGGTCAACATGCCAGATAGATTACAACTTTGCTTAGGATGTCAAGGTCAATACTTCACTCGTAGTTAGCTTATTAAAAATTGTAACAAATCACCCATTCTTTATCCACAGAAAGTTTCACTAGTTGAGTTACAGTTTTTACTTAAAGGAAATCGAGGTCAACATGCCAGATAGATTACAACTTTGCCCAGGATGTCAAGGTCAACATACCACCTGGGTTTGTCTACAGTAGACCAATGTCAACACACTAGATATGGTACAGCTTTTCCTGCAGAAGGTCAAGGTCAACACACCAGCTGGGTTACAGCTTTATTTGAAGTAAGTCAATGTCAGCTCGCCAGCTACCTTAGTTTTACCTATAGAAGGTCGAGGTCAGTATACCAGCTGGGTTACAGCTTTGTTTGCAGTAAGTCAATATCAGCACGCCAGCTAGGTTACAGCTTTGCCCAGGTGGTCAAGGTCAACATACCAGCTGCGTTACAGCTTTGCCTATAATAGGTTAATGTCAGCACACTAAGTTATTTTTACCTACAGAAGGTCGTGGTCAACACAATAGCTAGGTTACAGCTTTGTCTGAATGAGATCAAGATCAACATACTAGCTGAGTTACAACTTTGTCTGAAGTAAGTCAAGGTTAAATAGACCAGCTACACTACAAATTACAGTTAAAACATTATTGATTTCAACTACGTAGGCCATATTTATTTTCACTATCTACGAATAGAGTTTGACACAATTCACAAGCATAAGCTAAACTCTAATGTTTAATACCTTAAGGACCATAATTTCAAACATGGCATCATGCTTTCAATGCATGCCTGCATAAGACACTCCAGACCGGTGGCATTTTTGCATTTGTAAAAAGTGATAACTCATAAATGTCGCCATATCTGGAAAATAGGCAATTCCAACATAAGAAATGGTAACCTTAAACATTTTAACCAAAATTGTTATTTATATATATATATTTCCAGTTTATAATTAAACAAGTGTAAAAACATTAATATAAAAGTAGGAAGGGGAACACAAAAAAGTAAAAATATTTTTTAAATTATCAAACCCTAGTAAAAATATTTTTTAAATTATCAAACCCAAGTAAAAATATCACAAATACTTTATTACTTTTGAAGACAAATAAGTTTTAAAAAATTCCCGAAAATTTTCGCTGAATTTCCCTGAACCCGGGAACGAAAACCTAGAATATAGCTACTAGCGTATTGTTAGCTCGTTAGTAGTGTTGCAAAATGATTATTGTTATTACCAAAATTATAAGTAAAAGTAAGAAAAACGTTTTTAGCCAAGGTAGCGTACTTCAGTCATGTGCATTTAGATTTGCATAAGGTGAAGGCAGGATAGAGCTATGCCTTTCCAACAATGTTAGTCAGGCAGATTGTGATATTTTTGTTTTTACTCTACCGACTTTCTCAAGTGCTTTGGTGGCTTGTTACTCAACAGTTGGTTTGTTTACTACTCGACAGTGTGTGTAAAGTACTTATAAAGTTTTGTTTATATACTGTCTGCAGCGTGTTTGAGATATAAAATTGTATTGCACGTCTAGCCCATTCCTACTATAAGTACTACCGTTCTTATGATAAACTTATTACGTGGTATAGCCGTACACTATGCTGTTATGCAGTATGACCGTATCCTTTGACCAGTTAGCTAGGTTAGACACATTCCAATCAAACATGTCTTAGTGGTTAGCGTGCCGAGCTGTGAATCTTATGATCCATGGTTCACGACCCGTTGTCGTTTCGCACTTGGGTTCATAGGTGTGTTATAAGACTGATCCTACAACTTCAAAATTGGTGCTGTTCACTAGCTACCTTCCCTCTATCGGTTAAAAATTAGTGGTACTTCTCAAAGGTATCCTTTTGTACAACATTCTGCAAAAATTAGTATATAAAAATTATCACATCCTTGCAGACCAAATGATGTCATGCGCTACCCCACTTTTTTGAAATTTGTTTTAAAGTGAAATATCGTATACAATTGATTTTACAAATTTTGAAAAAGGTGTTTCGAAAAGATCTTTCTGGCCTCTGAGCTGTTCCAAGTTGGAGATCATCATTAGTTTTAATCACAGTTTTTGTAAAGACAAAAGGAACAACAAAATAAACAAGCAAGTGGAGAACGAACAAAATCAATTTATTATGTTTACTAGCATAAAAACAATTCAAGTCTTTTAGCATTATTCTAAACACTTCTGTAGTGTTAAATATTTTTTAAAACCATGGCATAGGTAACTTGTCTGAAGGGTTCTGACATAAATACAAGACTCCAGTGGCTCAGCGGTAAGCCTGAAGGCTTATAACACTACAAACCGAGTTTCGATACCAGTTGTGAGCACAGCGCAAATAACCCGTTATGTATGTGTGTGTGTTTGTTTTTCTCATAGCAAAGCCGCATCGGGCTATCTGCTGTGTCCACCGAGTGGAATCTAACCCCTGATTTATCGGGCTATCTGCTGTGTCCACCGAGTGGAATCTAGCCCCTGATTTATCGGGCTATCTGCTGTGTCCACTGAGTGGAACCTAACCCCTGATTTTAGCATTGTAAATCCGGAGACTTAAGTTGTGTAACTTTGTGCTTAACAAACAACCAAAAAATATAAAGAAAATTTGGGAATATTTACTGTCCATATAAGGAAGAAAAGGACATCTATGGCAAAAATTTTCGATAAAGAAAATAATCCCAGTTTTAAGATGACTTGTTTATTATTTTACTGGCTTTGGAAAATTTTAAAATGCAGTTAGTTAAAAGTTACAATTTTTGATACCGCAAATTTCAAAAGTTCACAGGTATTTCCAACTGTTTGAGGCAGAAGTAAGCAATGAATACGAACCAGAATTACTGATTTGAAGCCATGTTTCATATGATGACAAGTTTTACCTATACAGACATGTAGTTTAATTATAATTACTCCTCAAATAAAAATTACAATTAGGAATGCTGGGGGCTAAAATATTGAAACTCGGGGTTAGCAGTTTGGGTTTTTCTTATTTTATCTCAAACAAGTGTTAATAGGATTTTCATCAAAACAAAATTCTGAGTTTCAACATTTTAGTTATAAATATGCTTTATAGGTGATTTGAGGGAGTAAAACAGAAATTTACTATCGCTCTCATAACAAAACACGAAATACGACTGGTAAAAAGTTGAGTACACACTCGGGATTGTGAGACGATACTATCGCTCTCATAACAAAACACGAAATACGACTGGTAAAAAGTTGAGTACACACTCGGGATTGTGAGACGATACTATCGTTCTCATAACAAAACACGAAATACCGGCTGGTAAAAAAGTTGAGTACACACTCGGGATTGTGAGACGGTACTATCGCTCTCATAACAAAACACGAAATACCGGCTGGTAAAAAGTTGAGTACACACTCGGGATTGTGAGACGGTGCTATCGCTCTCATAACAAAACACGAAATACCGGCTGGTAAAAAGTTGAGTACACACTCGGGATTGTGAGACGGTACTATCGCTCTCATAACAAAACACGAAATACCGGCTGGTAAAAGGTTGAGTACACACTCGGGATTGTGAGACAATACTATCGTTCTCATAACAAAACACGAAATACCGGCTGGTAAAAAGTTGAGTACACACTCAGGATTGTGAGACGGTACTATCGTTCTCATAACAAAACAACGAAATAACCGGCTGGTAAAAGGTTAGAGTACACACTCGGGATTGTGAGACGATACTATCACTCTCATAACAAAACACGAAATACCGGCTGGTAAAAAAGTTGAGTACACACTCGGGATTGTGAGACGGTACTATCGCTCTCATAACAAAACACGAAATACCGGCTGGTAAAAGGTTGAGTACACACTCGGGACTGTGAGACGGTACTATCGCTCTCATAACAAAACACGAAATAACGGCTGGTAAAAAGTTGAGTACACACTCGGGATTGTGGGTAACTTTTAAGATTTAGATATTTTCTCCCCCAGCAAAGCCATCTAGCTGTATATAATCATTTAGAAGTGCAGTGAATCTATGATGAAATACAATCATCACGGGTCGGGTCAAACATGATGAAAGTGAGAAAAACAAAATGTTTAATTCATGTGCTATACATGTGATCGCAAATACCGAATGTGTCTATGTGTATGTACTTATTTCTTATATATCTGTAAGTTGTGCGGACTTCACGAGCTAATGAATTGCTGAGTCTTTTACAGTTATAAACATGTGTTCGCATTGTTAGCTTATTTTAATATAACTTAGTAATAAGATAAATATCTTACACCAGCTGATCGCTTTGGGATTACTTCTGAAATGTTGTTAAAATACGCTTTGGATTACTTCTGAAATATTGTAACTACACGCTTTGGATTACTTCTGAAATGCTGTTACTATACGCTTTGGATTATTTCTGAAATGCTGTTACTATACGCTTTGGATTACTTCTGAAATGCTGTTACTCCAGCTGATCGCTTTGGGATTACTTCTGAAATGTTGTTAAAATACACTTTGGATTACTTCTGAAATATTGTAACTACACGCTTTGGATTACTTCTGAAATGCTGTTACTATACGCTTTGGATTACTTCTGAAATGCTGTTACTCCAGCTGATCGCTTTGGGATTACTTCTGAAA